GAAAACTAAGAATACAAAAAAAAAAAAAAGAGAGAGAGAAAGATAAAGAAAGCATCCTACCTAGCTTTAACTTGGCATTGTAACTATCAAGCAAAGTAAATACAATGAAGGAGAGAAATTATACTTCCACCAGTAACCATGGATTGCTTACCTTGAATTCCTTATTCGACGCAGAGAAATCTATTGAAAGCTTAAGCAGCAATTGTCGTTATATCTAGACAGACAAAAAGGAGAGCAAAGAGCCAACAGGAAGGGGGAGAACAGTGGGCTCATGATAAACACTAGGAGCAATGGATTTCGTGTTGGAGACGCGAAGCTTCCTCGTTTTTGTGATTTTCCTTACTAATTTTGGTCACTATCTTATTATTTTGTTTAAGACTTGTTTTATATTAGACATAATGTTATGAAAAATTAAAACTAGCAAAATAGTAAAATCATACTAATAATAATAAACTAATACGGAATAAGTAATAAGATTTAGGATTAGTTTCAACTTAAAATGTTTTAGAGAATTTACCTTGTTAGTTGTTAACTCAAATATGAAAATATCTATTAATCTTTTTTTGAAATGTAAATGTTTTTTTCCCTTTTAATTATTAAATAAAATATTCAAATTTTTTAAGTTTTGATCATAATTTCACGTCGATCCATTAGTAATTCAAAACGAACTGTTGATTCTCAAATAATTTATTTCGTTAGATACATAAGTATTATTATTTGTCAATTGTCAATATTTTCGTTAATATGATGAAATAATAATATTTTCAAGATAATTTTACTGTTTATTAATTTTAAAAATTACCATTATATAAAATATAATTTCTTACATTTTTACAATTTTCTCTTTCTCTGCTCCAACATTCTCTCTCCTTCTATCATTAAATTTTTTCCACTGTGGACAGTAATGGCGAACGACGAAGAACGATGGCAACAGTCACAATGGCAAGCGTCTATCGCATGTTCCCTGATCAAATCAAACCATAAGAAAGCCAGATCTGATGTCCCTTAGTTGGATCCGACTACAAGAATGTCAGATCGCATTATATAAACTATACTTTTTCATTTTTAAAATTTTTTTTCTCTCTTATTCAAAAAAAAATCTCTCTATCCCAAATTTAGTCATGGGGTGGCTGGCCAATGTAAAGGAGTGTCACCGACCGACTTAAGAGAAAGGAAAATAATGAAAAAAAGGAGAAAGAACATGAGTATTTTAAATATTTCACGTTTATCCATTAACACTATTTACATGTTTAAGACGAATTATATATTTCGAATATTAATGGATTTGCGTGAAATTATAAATAAAACTTAAGGGAGTTAAGGTATTTTACTCAAAAAATAAGTAGTTCCATGATCACATAATGGGTTCAAGTAACTATTACTCATTATGTACAATAAATTTCTTTTCAATAACTATTATTCATTATATACATTAAAACTCTTTTCAATACTATTACTCATTATGTGCATTAATATTTGTTCTTGAATACCTCCTCCTTACTCTACATATAGAGCTTTGCAATTTGTTTTGGAGGAATAAGATTTCATGAGCAAAGTTAGATGCACTTTCACCCTTAACCCTCTCTATAAATATTCTCTTTAAGATCTCTTCTACTTAGCCTTTCTCTACCCTATTTTCAGTTTTACTCTATCACTTACCTGTTTCCTAGACTTTGTCCATTACTACTTGGCACAACATTTACAACATGTTTGGTTGGGATTTCTTAATCCTTCTTTAATGCTTTACTTTGTTGGAAGGAATGGTCAATCGACCTCCTGTAATGGCTATTTTAGGAGGCAAGGAATAGAGTAAAATTATCAATAGATAAAAATATCCTTCATTAATTTTGAAAATTATCATATTATATAAAATGCAATTTCTTCATTTTTTACAATTTCTTTCTCTCTTTACCCAACTACCTGTATCATTCTTTCACTAAATTTCCACATTGTGGAAAACAATAGGCAATAACAGCGGCAATGGTTGATGATGATGGCGAGCGAAACAAGTGCATCCATGATCGCATTTGGAGGTGAAGGCATCAAATCTAACACTCCTCAGCTAAATCTAACTCAAAAACACTAGATCGTATCATGGGAAATGTTGATATGGTGCTTCCTTGCTAGATTTTTCAAGGTTGAATTTGACACTCCATGACTGACCACGGGGAGCACCAAATTGGCGCTCTTGTACGTGAACAACATCTCCAATGGCCGAGGGATGAGAAAAAAGAAAAAAGAAAAAATTAAAATGAATTTAAAATAAAAAGGTCTAAGTTTTAATTATAAATTATAAAAAATTAATATTTTAAATTTAAAAATTAAATTAATATTTTAATATTTTAACAATAAAGAATAAAATAACATAATGAAATTAATGTTTTAATTATAGATTATTAATATTTTAAAGGAAATATGAATTACGAATATTCTAGAAATTTAAATAAATAATCATATTAAAAATTTTTAAACAATTTATTAATATTTTAATAAATTTTTTAAATAATAAATATTTTAAATTAAAAATTTAATATTATAATAAAAGGTATTTTTATCATTTATCACTCATTTATTAACTATTCATGAAATTTTTCCTACCAACTAAACATTGAAATAATTCATAATAGCAATTCATATTTTATTTCATTCTTATGAACCAAACTATATAATAGCTATTCATCTTGCCTCTAACACATCAATTTTACTTATTTGCAGCATTAAATTTTCTTATCACAAGAATTTTTTCTATATTTTGGTAACTCCATTACGAAAGAATGGTTACACTAAGTAAAATTTCACTAGAAAAAGCTTGTGTTACTAGAAGAGATTGGCAATTTCATTAGCAACCAAAATACACCTCTTTTCGTCTAAAACTTGATAATAATTATCTAAGCTTCTCAATAAAGATGCAAATGTTGGAGGACAATAATACACGGATGGCGGGGACCATGTTTCAAATTTTATCCTCTATTGCCACCATTTCTTAGGTTCAACCCGTGCAATTTTTTAATGGTAATGAAAATACACTTAATAGAATCATTCCCCCGAATGTAAACACAAATGAGAATGGAAGAAATGAAGAAAACATTGTTGATGAGGTAGTCAATGAAAATCCCAATATTGACAAATCCCTTATAATAGTTACACCAATTACTACCTCTACTGCAGTGATCCTACTGAACACTATGTAAGGATTTATGGTAAAAGAAGAGCTTCAAAGGCTACTTGATCAAAAGAAGAGCATGAACTTTTTTGAAATTTTATCTTAAGTTGCCTCATCCAGCTTATGTAGCTTTTAAGCCATATTTAAAGGACTACATTAGTACCAAGTTCAATCAATTTAAAGGTAAGATTGGGATGCATAAGAGCTTGTTATGAAGTTTATGAAAACCCATAAAGTAATAGGATTGAATGATGACTGGAAATTATAAGGGATTTCCAAGTCTCTTACAAAAAAAGCTTAAACATGGTATGTTAATCTCACCCTTGTTGTTAAGTCATGGAGCCAAATTTGCAAGAAGTTTTATTCTACTTAAGAAAGGTTATGCTTGTTGATTTGGGAAAAAAGCATCAAAAGTACTAAAAAGATTTCACGTAATATATCCAACACTTTAAAGAAAAGGTGTCGAATATAATCTTGATGAGAAAGAGTTGGTGAAAGTTTGTATCCAAAAGATGTTCGACAAGCATAGGTTGCACTTGAAGAACTTACTCTTCCAACTTTTGTTATTTTGGTTAAAATTGCACCAAAAAACAATAATACGATTCTTAGGTAATGAAGAGTTAATCGTTTGATAAAAGGAATACCTAACAATAAATGCAATTTAAAGAAGAGGTAGAGAAAATAGAAGCCCTTGACCTAATTTGCTTTCAACATGAGATAACTTAAGAAGAAGACAAAATGAAGTGATTGATTGTCCCCCACTATTTTCAATCCCACCAATCAGAGTGAGCATTTTTCCTTGAATGGATTAAGGTGGACAAGTGACCTTGCTTATGCTGTGCAACCACCAACAACAGAAGAGAAGTCTAACTCAAAATATTATGACTATAATCATACAGTTAGTCACTCACTTTCTAACTGTGAAGACCAATGTAGAACATTTCACAAGAAGGCAGAAATAGAAGAGGTATAGTAATTGAGAACAACAAGATCTAAAACATCTTGTTTCCTGATCATGTATGATACTTGTGTGGCTTTGACTTTTGTTACTTATGTATGATAAGTTTTATCTCTCATACTTTGATTACGTTGATATTATGATATTGGCTTGCTATTGGTTGCAAGCTTTATCGTTTATTTTTTGTATCATAGTTCATCACTTATATTTTAACGTAATTTTATCATTTATACTTTGACCATGACTTTGATCTTTTCGTATTAGTCAAAGTTTTATCACTCATTTCTTATTTTCGGTAGCTTTTATGCTTACTTATTTAAAAAGTTAAACTAATCTCATTCACATCAAGTTGAACGAAAATCTACATGAAGTGTGAACAATGAATAACATTCGTACAAATAGCATTACTTAACGAGTCTACAAAACTAATAAAGGAGTAAATTAACTAAAGCTTTGCTACAAAGCTAATCATCTTGCAACTTCTTTTTCACAATTCTTCAATAAAAAAAGATTTTTGCTACAATCTCTCCTAACTTCAATATGAGTTTTGCCAACATCATCCATACAATTTAATATCAATTCTAATATTTTTTAAGAAAGACTTGGCCAAAGAATATTGACAATCACAAGTCAACTTTTTGAATTATTTCATTGCACATGTATTACACAAATATTAGAAGTAATACTTGCACCCAAAAGTGTGAATATCAACTTTATCAAAAGTTGGGATAAGGTAACTCTTAAACTTTGTCAAGTATACATGGAGCCCTTCGAGGAGAAATCAAGACACACAAGAAGAAAAGTTGCCAAATTGATGCACTACACTAAAAGAACATGAAGACTTTCACCAATCTTGTAGACATCGAGCAAAAATGAGATAAATACATATATTTTATGAATATATGTGTGAATGTCTATTTTGTTATGACCCAAAAAATTCAAACCAAGTTAAACAACCCAACAGACTAGATGCAAGAAGTGTAATCTGATTTAAACTCTTAGATTGAATTAGATTTGGATTATGATTTAATGGGTTGTTAGCCTATAAATAGGCCCCTCACTTTATTTGTAAAACATACGTTTCATTAAGATTTTCTTACTCCTTCCAAATACTTTCTTTATTGTCATTTTTTTATAGTTATTTTTCAGTTTATATTTTATAACACGTTATCAGCATGATTCTTTAGTTTTCAAGCTTTGGTATCATTTAGTTTTTCATTATTATCCTAAAGTGGAAGTTCAATTTTTCGTTAGGTAATTTTTTTAATTTAATTATTATCTATTGTTACTTCATTGTTTTGCCTATAGTTTACCAATCTCTAATGAGTAAAATTTTCAAATTAATTGTTTTTCATCAGCTAATTTATTCTTTTGCTTGCCAATAACGATTTTTTGTGTAATACTAAGAACTATGCTTTTCTTCTAAGCTATCACCATGTCAAATCTTACAAAACTTAAATTTGTAGCTGTTGTTATTACTAGCAAGAACTATCTATCTTAGATTTTAGATCCTGAAATTCTTTTAGATATTATGGGTATACACCATCAAAGAAGAAAATAAAGCATCCAATTAGGATAAGGCAAAACCAATTATTTTCCTTCTCCAACATCTCCATGAAGGATTAAATATTAAGTATCTCACAACAAAAGATCCAGTTAATCTTTGAGAAAATCTAAAAAAAAGATATGACTACTAGAAAACAGTAATTCTACCAAAAGCTCGTTATGATTGGATGTATCTTCAATTGCAAGATTTTAAAACTGTAAATGAGTATAACTCAACATTATTTGAAATCAGTTCTAAACTAAAATTATGTGAAGAAAAGATTCTGATGCTGATATGTTAGAAAAATCATTCTTTACATTTCACGCCTTAAATGAGCTCCTACAACAACAATACTATGAAAAAGGCTTTAAGAAATACTCTAAATTGATTTCATATCTTCTTGTGACTGAGGAAAATAATGAGCTATTGATGAAAAATCATGAATCTCGTCCAATTGGCTTTACTCAATTCCTTGAAGTGAATGCGACATCATTTAAAAGTTATAGTCGTGGTCTTGGTCATAATCGTGGTTATAGATGCGAACGTGAAAAATGTCACCATAATTGTCGCAATCATGGTGGTTACATTAATCATTATTCTGATAATATGAATACATTTAACAACAAAAAATGGATGAATAACGAAGAGATACAAGAAAAAGACAAAGGTGGAGAAAATAAAAAATTATAAAAAATGTTTGTTATCAATATGGCATAAAAGGCCATTGGTCACGTATTTGTCATACGTCAAAACATCTTGTTAAACTTTATCAAGTATCACTGAAAAATAAAAAAAAATATCGAAACAAATTTTATTCAAGATGATAGCCACATTGGTATAACATATTTGAATGTTGCTAATTTTTGTGCCTACTCTGAAGGATGAATTAATCATCTGATAGGTGATGAAAATCCTAAGAATGAAATTTTTTAAATAGTTTGTTGATGTATTTTCGTATAACTCTATTAGGAAGTTAGTATGTTGGGTATGTTTTTATTAAGAACTTGGTGTGTTTTAGTATAAGTCTATTAAAAAGATTTTTTTTATGTGTGTAATAATAAATTTTATATTTAATGTTATTTTATGTCAACTTGCAAGTTTCTTACTATATATGTTAATTTATTGAAGAAAATATGGATATTCATTTGAATGGATCCAAGGTCAATAATGAAGCTATATGTCTAATAGATAGTGCTACAATGTACATTATATTAAATACAAAAAATATTTTTCTTACTCGAAAATGAAAAAAGTCAATGTCAATATAATATCTGGTAGTTCAAGATTAATTAAACGTTTCAGAAGAACCAATATTTCACTACTTGGAGGAATAAAGATTATAATAAAAGATATGTTATTTTCTACTAAGT